GATAATGTAATTAAGTCATAAATCCTACTGTTTTTAAAATAAAGAACAAGTATAAATAAAGAACAGTTTAGTATTCATTTACGTCGTCCTGTATACATCGCGTGTAATACATCAGCTGCCTCTTTTGATCGCGATTTTGTATCCTGCGTGCGGGCAACAGCGCGAGCAAGTACTTGGTTTTAATCGCGCATCAAGACCGCGCGCGTGTGAGAATTTATTGCGCGCTTTAAATATATATATTTTTTTTTCCTCTGTTGTTTTTTTAATTGGACGAGATATCTGAATATCGAATCTCTTCCGATCTGTGCGCGCACACTCGCGTCGTTCCGATCTCTTTCGCACACACACACATCGTCTTCATTACCATAATGTGTAAAGATAACAGCGCGCTGTTACCCGTGAGAAATTGAATCAATTTCCGTAATAACTAGGTGCTAAATGACGATCGACTATCGCGCATCGATTACTATTGCGGCAGCAATCGATCAAAACACGTTATTCAGAATTGTTCAGGATACGCTATTAATATCTACGACTGCAACCGATTTTGACGCACGACGAGACGAGACTTATCGCGCCTCGTAATAATAAAATTAAACAAACAGCTGTCTACTTAGTATAATAAGTTATTTCGCGTGCACCTTTAATTATGCAAGTTCAAGTATGCAAAACAAGTTGTTCTCAAGAAAGAGATTACCGAGTTTTATTTTTACGCACGTATAAATGAAAGAGTAAGTTTTCGTAAAAGTTCTGCGAATCAAAGAATAGAAGAAAAGCGTAAAACTGTAGCCGCAGATTAGAAAAAAGAAAGAGAGAGAGAGAATCGTATAAATGCAGATAGTAAATTTTTAACAATCCATAATGCTGATTTCAAATGCTGACTGACGTATCGCGCACGTAATCAGCCCGCGTTTATCAGCTTTCGAATCGTAATCGCTCTTTATCACGCCAACACGCGCGCAAGCAATTTTTCTCGCACGAGCGCGATGCAATTTACGATTAACACAACATTTCTTCGCGGCGCGCGCACTCGCCGCGCGAATTCGCGACCGATCGTCTTCATCATCGTAAAACACGCGTCCCGAGATAAGAGGCCGCGCGCAGAAAAGCATTATATCTTCTTCATGGACAACGAAGAGCTGCACTTTCGGTATAATTTTGTCATTAAACCCATCTCGGGCTCTTTTCGCGTAACTTGTTATACCCCTCTTGCTGAAAAGTTGAAAGCAGAAAAGCGACAGGGACAGAATATTACAAAGTTTAAAGTACACACATTTTTTAGAGAACAATTTTACACATATTCTAACAATTTAGCGCGCGGTCTTTTACACGGGCTTTATCACGCAAATTGAAAAAATTTTAACATTTCTAAGAGGGAAAACTCACCGGCTTGAGATATCTCGAGAATTTCTATTTCACAACTTATGTTTTCTTACACACACCATGTGTGTGTGTATTATATATATCTTTTAATTATTTAAAACCTTGAAAATATTTTCTAACATAAATTATATTTACACGGTAGACAAGTAATTCTTGAGTCGAAGCTTAAGTCTCATTAAGCCTCCGCGCGTAGATCCGCCCCTGACAGGGTAGAGACGAAAGACGAGAAGCCGGTCAAGCGGCAAGAGAAGAGAACGAGGACCGCGGATCCGGCGATGATAATGATTCCGACGATGATAGACGGCTCGTTATTACTATACGCGCTCGCGCGAGAGGAAGAGAGCGAGACAGGCGGCCGGCGCGTTCGTGTTTTAGAGCTGGGAGCGATTGGTCGACGCCATTACTCACACCGTTTGCGCCTGCCACATGGTCCGATAGGTCTCTCTCTTTCTCTCTCTTCTATTTTCTTTTCCTTCCTACCTCTTCTCTTCCTTTCTTCATCTCCTCGTCCTTCTTCTTTTCTTCATCTCTTTTCAACCCTTTCGCTATCTCTTTTCATCTACTCTTCCCTCTTTACCCCGTCGTCCTTTTTCCCTTCGATTTATTTCTTCTCGCTCTCCTTCATTCGATATTCCTGTTTGCCTCTCTTCCGTCTTTCTTTATCACCGTTTCTCCCATCCTTTTTTCCCCTCCGGTTCTGATTCTCAAGCGCGAGATCTGACGGCTGTATCGTACCTCCTTAGGGCGCGTATTTTATTTGGCGCGCCCTTCAATTACCTCGTACGCAATTCGAATGAAGAAGAACAATTGCTATATTAGATGCTCGCCGGGTGGGTGTGTTAATACATTTTACTCGTGACGATCGCGCGGCCGCTTGATGCAGCGATTTATTATTTTCTTCGTGTTACGTACGTGGCGAAGAGATACAAAAGCCTCTCTCGCGCCGATACATACGAGCAGACGTTTTATTCTTCTGTTCTCTTCGACGAAAAAACCAATAATATACACTTTATCTCTAGTTAATGCATATTAATAAAACATACTTGATCATTTTCTTTACAATGAAGAGTCAAAAATTATTCATTACTTAATCACACAATATATTGGCGCCTTTTTCTACGAAACGTTCGTAGAAAATGTGTGTTTGCGAATGGCCTCGATGAACTATCGATATTGATTTGTGTGACCGATAAAGTACGTGTACGTATGAATGTTTTTCCTCATCGGATTGACGGTTCTGCAACTTCGTCGTCGTCGTCGACGGAGTTTGTTATGGAGCATGATACGACATGACAGTCGGTTTGTTACGCACAACATTATGAAGATGTCCCCGAACGTGCGGCGAAACAACGACGACGAACGACGACAGTGGCGTGCGAAGCATTTACGAACATTTCTGTGCTCGTTTGTGTACGTGTGTACACGCGTGAACACGGACGTGCCACAGCGCGAAGTCAACGACGTGTGCGTTGCACACCGATATTACACGCATTATCTGATGACACCGACATACGTCTTCGCTGTCAGCCGATCGTTAGGGGAATAATCAAAGTCACTCGAACGGATCGGCCAGGTTGGTCTCATAATTGTCTTTCTTATGTCGCACATGAATGCGTGATCGATTTATCGAATTAACATACGCGTGAGCGTCGTAAACACCAAAGAAATAAGTTTGACAAAAAATAAGATTGACGAAATCTGAGAACAGGTCAGCGATTTACACAAACTTACATTTCGATATATCTCAATGATTCCGAACTTTGAGGCTTTTGATTGATTTTTCAATAAACTTCCTGCGACATACGCATCCTGTGGCATTCCTTCTCCACGCGCGGAGATACATATTACGACCATTTTCATGTACCCGCAGGTGTTCTTCTGAAAGAGAATCGCTCCTTTATTACGTGACAATATTGCGAACGCTTCTTGCGGGCAATAATGCGCCTTAAGATCCGTGCCAGATGTCACCGCGGTTAGCGGGTCATATACGAGACCGAAATCTTAAGTATTAGCGGGTTTCCAGGGTTGGGAGCACCGCGCTAATATCACCGCTCTCGTCGTTCCTTTCGCTTGAGCTCTTCTATCTCGCGGATATTCGAGCGGCGACACGTGCGCGAAATGGCTTATAAAACTTTTCGCGAACATCGTCACGCGTGCCGGCAAAGAATCGCTTCGTTTTTTTCACATTAGAGTACCGCAATACGCAGATATTTGTACGATATTTCGATACGTATGTATTGATACATATGTATGTTCAAAAAAATAGAATATAGAGAAATGTAAAATAAAATATAGAGAATATCCAACGTGAACAATGTGTCTTTGAATATACATCTAATCATCTGTATATTTAATCCTTCCTCTTTTTAATGTATATATTACATATATTATTTAACCATTTATATATTAATACCATTCAAATAGTGACGAGTTTCTTTGAAGCTAAAGAAAATACAATTGCTTATTCGGCTAATATTACGTAAAATTCTTACATTGGAATCATAAACATCAATAAAAACGCTACAGCAAGTTACTATCTACTTTCGTTTTGACTTGTTACATATCGGAGAAGATTTCATGATCTCTGATCAACCTCAGATAGTAGGTTGATCAGAGATCATGAAACACATCTCAATCGGTTAGGTTCACATTGTGATGGGAACGTCATAGTGTCTGATCAAATTCATATCCTAATCGGTTAAGTTCACATTCTGATGTGAACGGAATAAAACCGCACAATGTGGACATAGCGCGGAATAGAACCATGTCCACGTTTGAACATAATGCACGGCACCGACAAATTGCTCGTCGACATGGCTACGTAGTTGCCTATGTACACCACCGATGGACATAGCGCTGACTTACAGAGTGGAAAAGGTAATTTTTCTAATGGCCGCCCTGGCCGCTTTCAGTCTTCTCTCTGATTATAACATAACATATAGTATTTGTATATTTGTTAAAATTTTTTGTGGGTACTTAGTAGAGATACGTAACCCCATCTGACAACAATGCATGTAACACCCAAAACATCCCGATTAGCTTTAAAAACACTCGATTGACTGACAGTCAAATAGTCATTTTGTTTTAGTAGTTTGCCGCGGTCGGCAATAAATTAACTTACAGAAACAAAAAATTTGACATATATAATGTACTACTGGAAGAATATTACTTGCACTTATCATCAATGAAGAAAATAATGATTAAATAATTAGTACTTTTTATCATCTATAAAAATTATCAAGTATATTATTCCTCATAAAAAATTAAGTAAAGATTATATTCTTAGTTTAAAAAAATGAAATGTGTTTTTCTCCATAAATAATTTGTGTTTGAAATGTTACAATACAGCTTTTGATAGCTCGCTTTCCATGCTAACAGCATTTAATGAACACAATAAAGATATTCTTGATAGAAAAGCGAGTTATCGAACGCAACTTTTGATATAACGCTACAATAAATAAATACTCAATTACATAAAAACGATTCTATTAACTACTGAGAGTGACAGTTGTCAATATAAATTACAGAACCGTCATACAAAAGCAATTATATCTCAATTAAACATATTAAATACTTAAATATCAATTCACATACAGATGTCCACTAAACAACGAAAATATATATAACTTAATTGTTTTTATTATGCATATCTTAATGTGTATTTAGTTCCTTTTTCTTGTACACGTATTTATTATATATATACATATCGAGACGATTGTTAATTCACATTATCAATCTTTGTCATAATGTGGTTTACTTTTTCAACATAATGAAATAAAAAATAATGATGTCTGATGGTAATGCAATAATCTATGCTGCTTGAGCTCACAATTTTGAAATTATGATAAAATTGTGATCTCAAAACATTGACTATCGCATGGCACATCTTACTTCTAAACAGTTTCATCACATTGTTAGTTCCTGGAATAGAACAGAAATAAATCAGTTATTATCTTCTTTATATTCTATTTCTCTTTTTAGCTCTTAAATAAATCATTTATGTTTTAAAACACTTACCATAATAGCATTGACAATGTCATTTTGATTATTCTTAAGAGCTTTAATAGCTTTTCCTCGAGACACGTTAGCCTGACACATTACCAAATCAACATCTTTTTCCTCCACACCTGTCTCATCCACTTCTTCTTCAGATTCTTCTTGTATGGGAGCAACCACCTTGTGTAAATAAAGAAATAAATATTAAATACTATTATTTATTTATCTCTTCTTCGAACGAATATATTAAAGTATCTTACCGTGGTGCTGCCACCAGCTTCTGTTGCTGGTATAACAGGTGGTTCTTTGAACTTCTCAGCTGCTGCTACTTGAGCTTGTTGGCTGAGATCTTCAATCTGCAAATAGATTGTCATTTGTTATCACGTAATTAAACAAAACTACCAATAATACAAATGTGTCAATAAATTTTCTAATGTCAGACTGCCAAGGTACTTTTCAGCATGTAATTTCAGTTAATTTAGCGAAACACCTGATCATTCATCATAAAAAAATAAAATATTTCCCAACAAATAAAATTATTGTCAAATATAATCACAGGGTCAAGTTTTTACCTTGGCTTCACCAAATACTATGTACGTGTCTGAAGCAGGGTTTTTCAAGACATCTGGTTTATTTATAACAAATAAGATGTTCTTTGATTTACGTATAGTTACTCTGTTAACCCCTTGTACCTATATATAAAAAAAAAAGAAACTCTTAAATAAAAAAATACAATTGCATTCATTAAAATATCAAAAATAATGCACTTTAGACATACAGGTTTCAATCCTAGTTTACTCATCAGCTTCCTAGCTTTTTTTTCACCTCGACTCTGTTTAGCCTTGGACACCATATCAATGGGAAGTCCAGTAACGGTTGTACCAGGAAAACCAACTGTACCTGGAGGGCCTGCATCTTCTAATTCTGGTATAGTGTCGTCTGAATCTGAATCAGTTGCAGAGCCAATGCCCACAAGTTCTACCTTGGTAGGCTCGGAACTCACAGCCTTTTCTAGTTCAGTCAGTTCAGGCATGGTTCTTAATATAAGGCCAGAACTATAGATTCCCCTATGGACAAAATTAGTCATATAACTATTTTTTTATTTGTACAAGAACTAAAGTTTTAAAAACTAATAAAACAAAATATTTATATACGTGTGTATAATTATCAATTTTTTTCATTAGAAACAAGTCACGTGTCTAATTTTTAATGAAAAACAATCCTATGTAAAATCAACATAAATCAACAAGAAATTTTTCGCGGGATCATTGTCATAGAGTGGACATTATGGCGTCCAAGAAAGCTATCCGAAAAACAGCTCGCTGAACGTGACGAAATATTTGTTTCTCCGAATAACAAATTTCGTGCTCGATGTGTTACAGATATGTATATTACGATGTGTTGATCTTTATGAGACACGGTTGTCTACAAATAGTAAACCGGTTTTATATCAAAAAGTATCGCATCAGTCCACGAAGCACGGTAAAAATTTGCCGAGACGAGATCCGTTCGAACCTTATAACAACTTACGCTGATATCAGTGACGATAAAACGTACTACGCAATACTATTACCGCAAATGTCATGTTTGATTCCTGATCTCACGATATATTCACATTTCGTAAACAATTACACAGTGATGTCGAAAGAATTATTAGATTTACCTTGTAAAATTTACCTCCTCGTACGAATGATGAAGATAGTTGAAGCCAGTTGAAGCACTTAGGAGTACACATACTCTTCATACATCAAGTCACTCAGGCTGATTCACAGTGCGAGTCTATCTGTGTGCGGGTCTAAGCACCGGCAAACAGAACGCGGCGACACATTACGCGCAACGCGATAACCAATCAGCAATTTGTTCTTATAGAAATGTAACATATTTTTCATAAGAGCAAAATGCTGATTGGCTATTGCGTTGAGCTTAACGCGTTGTCAGCGCCGTCTGGGTTGAAAACGCTGCTGAAAGTCATGAAAAGAACTTTACGACGCATTCATTTTCCTCGACTAATGCTCAACGCACATGTCAGAAAATTTTTGGCTCGGTCACTGATTGGTCACGACAAATTTCTAACCAATCATATTCCGTTACGCATTCATCTTATCCGAGGAGCAGGAAATTTAAAAACTAGTAGTACAAGCTTAATAATAGTAAATACATCCTCATAAGTAGAATACATACTTTTAAATAAGACCAATATATTTTGGCAGCATGGTTTATACTTTTATATAGAAATATATATTTCTTTAAACAATCACTAAAAAAATTAGATACATAATGATAATTATTACTATCACACATGTGGTACCGATATACGAAATACAACAATTAGGGGTAACGCAAAAAAGAAAGATTATTCGAGAATTCTATATATAAACGTATATTATATTAACAATTTTTTAAAGTCACTTAAGTATCTTTCTCTTTTTCTCTTATCCATATAGTGCAATGAAAATTTATATCGAAAATATAATACAAAGCATTAAATAATATTTTAAAATGCGTGTTATAAATCATGTACAATTCCCTGTTAGAAAGCAAAAAATATAATAGGAAGTCATGAGAAGTCATTTTATGTTCTCGTGATTCATATTAAACGCTAAGATTAAAACTTGGATACTGTTTAATCTATCTATCACACAAAAAATAATAATCACAGTAATAAATTATAAGTAGTGTGTGTATGTTTCCGCATTTCGAGATAATATATCTCATTATCGAGATAATCTAGAAACTATATCAAATAACACTTTTACGCAAACAAGATAAATATTGTGTATAAAACTACATCTTTCCTTTTTTCTTCCTTGAAGAAACCTCTACATAGAACACATGTTTTAATCAATAATACCTTACATATTTATATTATCAGTTGTAGGTGTAAATTAAGGTACTAGATTATAATAAACTCATGTTGTTTTATAAATTTTTTTTCTGTAAATACTATCTGATCTTTCAAAATTAAGTTTTATATATATATATAGTCTATATATATAGAGTCTATATATATATAGAGAGAGACTATAAATACTTTATTTATATATTAACACAATTATATAAATATCGTGCTATTTTTAAAATCCATATATTTTATGTTAAAAGATAATTTCAATGCTACTAAATGGCAATATAATAACGTTATTTCAATTAACATTGAGAAACTTTGATCTCAACTTTTGTTCCGATTAGAAACAAGAAAAATTTATGCAAGTTTTATATAAGTAATTTTTTATTTCACTTTTATATATGTTTCTTTTTTCTCTTATTAACTCTTACCCTTTTTCTTCAGTTTTAAACTTAGTAAATAAGTCTATCTTATAAATATCCGTTTTACCCTCCAGGTTTAAATATAAAAATCTGCGAATGTAGAACGTCACGTCTCCGTCTTTTCGGTTTCATTTTTCTCTGATAATTCCTTAGATTCTGGTTCTGGATTGTCCGATTGTTCTGGTGTCTCACTTGGCCTTTCAACTACTTCAATATCAGAATCTAGAAAAGTTCTCAAAATACTAGGATATCTGTCTTAATATAAAAGTTATAGAGCCATTGAAGAAGAAAAAAATTCACACATATGCAAAACATTAAGAGTGAAAAAATATATCATACCTGTATCAGATTGCGATGGTTCTAACTCGACTTTAGGCGTTACTTCTTCTGCATCAGCTTCAGCTACTGATGTATTCGAAGTACAACTAGTAACATCAAATTCTAATTTTGGAGCAAAAGGTTTCTGTTTTCTTGCAGGATTCAAGAAACCACAATAACAACATCTGTATCCTAAAGCAATATATTTTGGTAGAGATATGTCATTTTTATTTATTTCACTAAGTCATTTTTCTCTCCTTTTTTTCAAAACAATTTCTCTGGAAAAATAAAACTTACCAAAATATTCAAATTCTTCTTTCAACGCCATTCCGTTATGTGAGTCACATTGTCGACAAATTAAAGCATAGCGATTTGAAGGACCATCACCCACTATGTAATCGACCAAACGATCAACCACACTTCTCTGTTGTGGCAACACTGGTCGTGGTAAAGGTGATCCTAAAGTTAAAAATAGGTAGTAATTACTCGTGTTTACATTATTAATAAGTTTACATGAATTTTGTTTTATATAAGTGCATTGTTCAACTCATATTATAGCGACGTATATTTAACGTATATTTACTTACGGAAACCTACGGCTGCGGGATTAATTGTTCTCGATTGGAAAGTATTAATAGATTGATTCGGATTAACATGAGATGACATTACACCAGGAATAGGCCTTTGTACATTTTGCAGCTGATTCTGAGGTACAATTCTTCTTCTTAACTCTCCAGTACCAGGTAAAGGAGATATTACAGCCTGTGGTGTAGTTCTCCGTGGTGTATCAGCTGGTACTGGTATTGGTAATGGTATTTTTTGAGCTAGCTAAACATAAAAAAAATCATCAACATTTTTATCTTACATTTAGAAAAAAGTAGTTTTACATGTAATAAATATTTTTTACATGATTCAATGACATTATAACGCAATTACGACTACATTTAGGTTTTTTCTTATGCACGTCATATTTATAGTTTCTCAAATACAAACCTGTAATTTTGGAGTTAACTGCAAAGAAAAAAATTGAGTATAAAATCACACATATACAAAACATTGTATAAATAATACATAACATAACAATACTGTTAATTTATTTTAAGATTTTTACTTGTTATTATCACAAACACACTTGGTTAAATAAGATACATCATGGTTAACATTTCAATAATAATAAAAATGAGTTTACTCACAGGTGACATGTTTAACTCATCTGGTGCAAACTTTGACAATATTTCTTTAGCCTTTTTATAGGTTTCTGTCTCGGTAACTTCATTTATTATCTTTTTTTTTTCTGCTACAATTGTAGACAATTTTTCTCGATTGTTTGCAATTTTTCTATTATAATAGCATGAAATTACTTTTTTTGTTAAAAATATCCTAAAAAGAAAACGTGTGTAACTATAATTTTTATCAAATCGAAATTTTCATTTCATTAATAAATAATTTATAATTAAAAACTTACAAAATTGGGAATAGAAGTAAAGGTGTTATGTAAAAAATTTGATCGTATAACGATGCTGGGAAAAAATAAAAGTAGAAAATAAATGCTATTATAATATAAAGTGCTATTCCATAAATAATGATGTTGCCCACTATCTTTTTATGCCTTTGTTCTGTAGTTTGTCCATACTGTTGGATTTCCTTGATTTGCTGTCAAAAGAAAAACTATAATATTATTGTGTAAAAGCATAAATATATATAAAATTATTATTATGATAAAATATTAATTAAAAAATATAACATATAATTCTCTCTCATACACAGATAATCAATTAAAATTACTTACTGCATCAAGGTCTTCCAAAATTTCAATAGTTGTTTTCTTTTTCTAAAAATCATAAAGTTCACTCATACATTTTTAATAATAAAATAGCATGTGTGTATAGATGTATCATATCATACATCATGTATTAAATAGCTTAATAAAATGAGGAAAAATTATTATTTTTGAAATCAAGTTAAATTTTTAAAAACATAGCAATAATTACATAAACATCTTATAATTCTATGTAATCACAAAAAGGCACTTGGAAAATCTCATTGAAAAATATTTATATTTTGAAATGTTTTAGGAAACTTAAACAACACAAACATTAAATTAATTTTTTTAAGATAAAGATTAATTTATAATACAATCTTTTTACATCCGTAATGTAAGAAAAATGTGAACTAAGAAAAATTATCTTCATTCTATTAAAGATTTTTGGCAGTTAACTCTGTATCGATAAGACAATGAAATAACAGTCCAGTCTCGATTTTATAGCAATATAATATGCTTCTCATGCGTTCATAATACAGTTACTTTTGCGACATATTTGAATTGGAACAAAGTTCGTCATTGAATGTTAATGTTTGTTTCTCACAGTAACCTTGCAGAATATATTTATAACGGTCAATTTAGTTTAAATCATAAAATGGCAACAGCTAAGAACACAGAGCTAGACAAGAAAATACTTATATTAGCTAAACTAATTGTAAAAGAGACTTTAAAGATTTGGTTTTATTTTTTATTTTTTAAATAAAAACGCTGCAAAAATGAAAATAAAAATACTTATACATAAAACATTACTGTCCTTCTGCGCGTTTGCATTAAAAAGAAAAAAAAAAAAATTCGCGCGCCAAGGCTTATTCATTTCTTATCTTCAAGTCTGCCGTCATCTGGTGTACAAGATGTAGGTGCTATAAATAACTGCGAATGACATTTAAAAATATTACTCAGCGATCGCTGAGCACGGTAGGGTAGGAGCTCGAAAAGAGACACGCGCGGGATGTGCAAGGTGTTTTTTAGGCGGCCAGTATACATTTTAACGACATAATGCTAACCTCATTATGTATGTACGGTACGAAACTTTGGGAATGTATAACAGTGAATGTTCACGCTCAGCTGCGTACTTACCTGAAATCTGGACAGTATTATCCCCATAATAACGACAAAGACGGATTAACGTGAAGAGACGTATTTCAAGGTATATACCTAGTCCGATCGCACACACGCATCGGCTCTAAATTCGCGCCGAATCTGACATAAGAGATCCTTCGATTGTTTTAAAATAGCTCCGTGTCCCGCTTCTCGCAGCCGGTTGTTTTCTCGCTCTGCTTTAAAAATACGGCCGAAATTTAAATAATACTGTTGCGCTTTTTATTTCGATATTTATAGTTATTTGTATGTGAAATCGCTCAGCGCTTTGTTAAAATCGACGAGCGATTTCGCGACCACCGTACGTACGAAAATATTGCAAATTGGTCAGATGTACACTCGTTGATGAGGCGTCTATCCACTTCAGCCAGTTCGGAGCAAACTGATCCGCTTTTGGAAACTCGCACTAGTCGCAGTCACTCGTGCTATGCGTCATCGCGAGTGCGGAACGAGAGATCGGCGATTTTTCCATCTAACCGGACACCGACGAAACCGGTGCGTCGAGTCGAACGACCGTTTGCTGTTTGAAAGCAACAATACTATAGAGCGCTAACTACGCAAGATTGGCTGGTTTGGGTTGTCGGCTGTCAAATGCGCAGAAAGACAGAATCAAATCAGTCGGAAAGTTAAGATACCATTTTGATTCACCGAGCTGAATAGTTTTGTGTAGTTTCATGTGCGCAAAACGTGGACATCGCGGCGCTCGTGGACTGAAACACGTCTTCAAATTTAGTAGAGTTCGGAGATTTCAACTCGGAGTAAAACTTTTTCACAGAGACCTTTAGCAATAAACGGAATGAAACGAATCTGATTGGCTATTGTTTTATTATGTCTTTTCTGATTTTGTTTCATTCCGCTATTTCGTTCTTGTCGCACTCTCAGCTTAGTGGCAATACCTTTATCTCTTGGAAGACGTTGGGACTTCTACCGTTTCTACTCAATTAAAATGCGCACATAAAATGTCAAATAATTGACGTCTGCTAAATCGCATAAATTCAGCTTGAGTAATTAAATTTGATTTTTGAGTTTCTCTCGGACAATAAAGGTGAATTTTATTAGTTGACACATGCAAATGGTTCAGCAATGTCTTTCTGACATGGCCGTTACACAGATTGTGATTTTATTATAAGAAATTTTATTTTTGGGCGTCAAATTATTGTCACGCTAATTGACTATATGTGACGAATTTTGTGAATTTATTTATATAAGCAGAAAATTTACATGTACATTACAGTTTAATTATACAATTCTCTACCATATTTTAACAAAAATCTTATTTATCTCTATGTTTATTATTTACACAGAAAAAATGACTACTCAACCTTTAATCTTTGTTGAGGAAGATGTTGAGAAGGGTGGTAAGGAACAAGCTGAACATGAAATACAAAATGATTTTGCATACAGGAACAATGTTCATAATGCAGACATCAAGATACGAATGGGTAAATATAAACTGTCAAAAAATGTAACATTAAACTTGTTTAATCTTAACATATGTTTTCAAGTATTTTACAATAATGCAATGATAATCTAAAAACAATACTTTCTACCTGTATATTCACCGGTTATATAGCAATATTATATTTATTTAGGTTTCTTGAGAAAAGTTTATGGATTGTTGAGTATTCAATTATTGATGACATTCGCAATTGGTGCAGTATTCATCTTGAATTCATCTGTCAAATTATATGTGCAGGAAAAGTAAAAATGTTTCTTCAAATATTTCTGATGCTTTAAACAATACAAATGTATTCTTTATCTCAAACTTAATTATTGGTTTTTTACTTAGTTCATGGACCATAGGCTTGGCATTTTTCTCAACACTGGGAATTTTAATTGCTTTGATGATAAAGAGAAAAGATCATCCTGCTAATTTAATTCTTTTAGGTGCATTTGTAAGTACAAGAAAGAATTAATTTATTGCATAATTGTGCATTCTGATGTATAGCAATATTAGCAAAATTTGAAACATTTTAGACCCTGACACAAGCATATACAGTTGGAGTTATGGTGTCTATGTTTGAAGTCACAATTGTCTTGGAAGCTCTATTCATTACACTGACAGTTGTGCTTGGTCTAACAGCTTATACTTTTCAATCCAAACGTGATTTCTCATTTTTGGGATTTGGGTGAGTATTTTTTAAAATGAACTTTGTTATTATTTTATTAAAGCTTATTAGTTATTTTTTTTTTTAATTACAGATTATTTATTGGACTTTGGTGCCTCTTACTTGGTGGATTATTTCAAATCTTCCTTCAGAGTACCGCAATGGAACTAGCTATAAGCGTTGGAGGTGCAATACTGTTTTGTTTGTTTATAGTTTTCGACACGCAAGCAATAATGCACAATCTTTCACCGGAAGAGTATATCTTGGCGACAATTAATCTTTACTTAGATATAATCAATTTATTCTTGCATATCTTACGAGCTCTTGCAATTTCAAAGCAATAAGTTTATTTAAAAAAAAAAAAGTATTGCTTATATAAGAATATGAAGTTTTGATTATTTTATTTTATAAATCTTATGTATGCGAGAGTTCTTCAGTATGTAATAAAGATATTTTTTTTTTTAAATAGTTTTAGCTCTTAATGTAAATACTCTATATATATAATATATATATATATATAATGTAAGGGATTCTCTTGTGAAAACAAATTTTGAGAAACTTTGTTTTTACTATTTTATTGTAGTACAGAAACAAAGGAAAATATTAAAATTATGAAGTCTCCATAGCAGCTGTCACATCTTCTGTGTACTTTCCTTTGTCTTTTCCTAATGCAGCCAATCTACCTTTGCTTCGCCTATCAATAATCTTTTTACGATCTTTATCCATTTTTAACTTAACAATAACCGTCTAAAAGAACATCACAAATTAAGATCTGAGAAAACAACAACACACAGTCTTAAGAAGTAGCATAAAGATCAGAGCCAATTAATCGTCATTAATTAGACCAAGAAAGACTTGTCTACTAATATACAAGAAAACCTTGTACAAAGTATTAAAGTCAAGCTTTTAATCTAATTATAAGTGAATGGATTTGGTTAATCATCACGCATATAGAAACAATATTAATATATTCAGTAAATACACATTTTTAAATAAATTTCTTACCTTAGAAGGATCAATTCCAACATATACATTTGCACTGTTTGCCTTTTCACGTTGAATTCGTTCAATGTATATGACAAACTTTTTTCTGTATACTTGAACAACTTTTCCTACTTGCTGTCCTTTATAATGACCACGAACTACCTTTAAATAACAAATTATTGATACACTTATATGTAGTTATGTTCACTTCAAGAACACTCAAAATTTTTTGATGTTATTACAAAAGTATACAAGTTAATGTTATTAAAAAAGTATAAAAGGTTTGACCTGCAAATTATCTTACTTGGACTTCATCATCCTTACGGATCGGCATCGATCGTACATTGTATTTTTGACGTAGCTCTTTAGACAGAGGTGCAGACATAAGTCGTCGTCTGATGTGAGATGGTGCTGTAAAATGCCTCTTCCGATTCTTTCTACGGGAGGAAGACACTAATCGGTTGTATTTCATCCTCGTAGATTCTGTAATAAAACACTCATTCGTAGAATAATGTTGTATTGTTCCATAAATTTTACATTTCGCATCATCAACGAGTAAACGGAACCTAAACACATGTACATTTTAGGTTACACTAGTGCAAATATCCAAACCACACGAATCTTTGAAATTTACAAAAAAATAAAGACAGTATGTGTAAGTAACTTTCTTATATATTTCCGATTACATATAACAGAGCTTTATTTCTCTTAATTTGAGTTAGATTACAAATGATTAATACTCATACAACTCACCGATATCTAATTCACTCTGTGATACAATCCGGAAAGAAATTTACCTTAAACCTTAAACTGAATCCGCTCTGCTGCAATATGACCAACTTAACCTAACCTACAAAAAATATCACGACTTAAGGCCGAAGCACAGACTTTTGCATAACGCACTACGCGTGAGATATAAGAAAATCAACCAATCCAGCTTTTTGTTTTCATCCCTACTTCTTGTTCTAGAAAGTTTTGATTGGTTGATTCTCTTATGGCTTATGCGTTATGCATTATGCAAAAGTCTGTGCTTCGGCCTTTACGTTGATGTATGACGATAGACTTTCGTGTGCGCAAATTGTTCAAAAATTGGAGTTCAGGCCGCTCTCATTCTTCTCTCTGATTTTAGGTTAGAAAACACTTTGTGAAAGAAAGATTATATGATGGAAGATCTAATAGAAGTAACAGAGAATTATTTACCAGAAGATGATTTACACGTAGCTTCAAAAGATTGGAAACGTGTTATGGATGCTGCCACTAAGGTATAAAAAAAACTTGAACATTATGTGTTGCTTATTCAAGTTTGACACAAATGTTAATTTGGTATATGAGTGATATCGCAATATCTTCTATATTTGACAATTGCATTTTTAGAACGGTTATAGAGAAGGTATACAAGATGGAGAAGATTCTGTGCTACAGGAAGCATTTGACATAGGTTTCAAAGATGGTTTTGAAACAGCATTCGTATTAGGAAGATACAAAGCTTTGGCTACTATATTGTCAAACTCTGCTTTGAAACATCCCCCGGATATAATTTCTCTTCTCGACAAAACTCGACGAGGCGAATGTTGGATATGTAGCATAGAATCACAAAATAATATGTCTGTTAGATACAAGGACACTTCATTTCCTGAAATTTTATGCAAACAAAGAGCACATTGTCTTGAAGTGACAAATAGACTACATGAATATTTCAAATCACTTTTAAGAGAGTCTAAAATCGAGATTTAACTCCTTATAAGCATATTTTAGTATTTATCATAAATAATTGATTAGATCATATAGTACAACAAAAATCGGTAATAATTTTTATATAGATATATTACTGTAAAAATGATATCAGTGTAGCTATAAGAAATTTTAGCAAGACGATTGATTAAATTATACAGGTCAGTAAAATGAATAATATGTTTTATAGATATAATCCTTCTGGAGAACCTTCCTTCTTTCGATATAATACACTTTCCTTGGACTTCTTGAAATCATCGCTGGTAACCTTCATACGCCGTTCACGCAGAGCCATTAAACCAGCTTCTGTGCATATCGCCTGAAATCAGATTCTTAATCTCAATATACAAATTGTTTCATATCGAAACAAAATAAAATTTTTGTAAAATGCAAGTCAATTTATAAATCTCAAATTCATTTCTTGCCTTGATATCTGCACCAGAGAGATCGTCTTTTGCCATTATCAATTCTGCAAGATTTACATCAGGTGCCAAAGTCATTCTGCTAGTATGAATATTGAAGATCCTTCTTTTGGTTTTCTCATCTGGCAATGGAAATTCTATTTTTCTATCGATACGGCCGGGTCTAATTAATGCAGGATCCAAAGTCTCTATTCTATTTGTAGCCATAACTACTTTTACATCACCTCGACTGTCAAAGCCTGAAAAATAAAAACAGTAATAACAAAATAGTCATTTCTGAAGTTTAATATTGTATATGTAAAAAAAAGATCTCATAGATCTTAAAAATGAAAAGTTGACGTACCATCAAGTTGATTAAGCAATTCCAACATGGTCCGTTGAATTTCCCGTTCACCTCCGCTGTTGCTGTCATATCTTTTTGTTCCTACTGCATCAATTTCATCTATGAAGACAATGGAAGGAGCATGTTCCTCAGCAACTCGGAAAAGTTCTCGTACAAGCTTCGGACCATCCCCAAGATATTTTTGTATAAGTTCAGAACCAACAACTCTTAAAAAGGTAGCTGATGTTTGATTAGCTACAGCTTTAGCAAGCAGTGTCTTCCCTGTTCCCGGTGGTCCATAAAGTATTACACCTTTTGGAGGTTTGATACCCATTTCTTCATAATATTCTGGATGAGTTAATGGTAGCTCCACAGATTCTTTTATTTCCTGAATTTGAGTATCAAGACCACCAATATCAGTATAAGTCTCCTGTGGAGCTTTCTCAAGTTTCATTACTGTAACCATGGGATCTGTATCATCCCCTAAGACACCAACAACAGCATGAACCTTATGATTCAACAACACAGAACAACCAGGTTCTAATTGATCCTTGTCTACAAATGACAAGATAGAGACATAATGCTCCGAACCAACTGATGTGGATACTATTGCATGATTATCATCGATTATTTCCTCCAATGTTCCAACAGACATTGGTGTTCCACGAAGATCATCCACTTTCGATCTCTCTTCTTCATTTTTCTCTTCTTGTGGCTTTAAACGTTCCTGATTTCTGATAAACTCCTCTTCCATCAAGAGATAATCCTTTATGCGCTCCATCTTTAAAAGTTTCAATCTACAACGAGTATGAGGAGTCACTTGTGGCAATTTTAGAGCAGCATCAGGTCCCTTGGTGCGTCTCTTTTTTTTACCCACTCTCGTGGGAATTGGCGGCTCGTACTTCTTCTTCTTGTCCTTGTCATCTTTCTTGTCTCCTCCACTACCAGTACCAGATTGGTTTTGACCCTGTAATTTGATTTTAATATTCTCTTAAACAAATCGCTATAATAATCATAAAAAACATAAAGTTTATCATGCAAATATTTAAAAACAAAATAGTAAAAGATAACAGATTAACATTTAAAAGACAATTAACCTACAAAAAATTATTGAGTTACGAGATTCTAAAAAAAATAAATTAATCTTTGTTTGTTATTCTGCTAAAAAAACAACGCTATTCCAAATACACAATAAGTAAATATTAACTATGTAACATTTTAATTTAAAAGCTTATGACTACTCAAGACTCACCATTTTCTGTCAACGCTCAACCGAGCTGAACTATTCAGCAATTCAGCTCGAAACAGCGAAGTCATTCGTCACAATTCGATTCGTACATTGCGATGTAATTGAGAATCGACTTATCGCGTTCTGTTCGATACAGCAAATTTCGACATTTAAATTCCAAGGACCTGAAATTTTGGAATTAACCAATCGCATTGGTCAATTTGGCTAATCAATCATCAAATGCGATTAATCGATTTCCACAAAATCTGCTTTAACCGACTATTGTAGATCCGGCCTACGATCGCCTTCAATGCGAACGTATCCAAAAATGCCCTGGAAGTGTGTTCAGCGCCACTGCAGCGTTTACTGGTATTTCCGTTGTGAGATCGGTGAGATCGATCATACGTAGAAGGAAAGTAGCGTAAGTATGCTCTTCAAACTTTTGCAGTTCTCTCTCTTTAAATATGTTGAAATAATATAACTTTTTTGTTTGTTCACGCAAAACATTGAAAATCGACTTGTACGAAGTTTTATTACACCTCAAAATAAATTTTGTTAAGAACCACGTGTTGACGGCATTTTTTATCCGCCATTACAAACATTTTGACGCAGCCGTCTGAAAAGTACATTTCACTTTTTTAATAAAATTTTACTTGAATTATACAGAATATGGCGGACACTGCTCCAGCCACTCGTGGTGGTTTTCGCGGAGGTTTTGGTTCTCGCGGCGCGGGAGGTGATCGTGGAGGCCTGAGAGGCCGAGGTCGCGGAGGAAGAGGAAGAGGACGCGGCCGCGGACGCGGTAAAGAAGACAGTAAGGAATGGGTTCCTGTTACGAAGCTGGGTCGTCTTGTCAGAGATGGCAAGATTCAATCTCTTGAACACATATATCTTTTTTCCTTGCCCATCAAGGAATATGAAATCATTGACAGATTTCTCGGTCCGGATCTGAAGGATGAGGTGCTCAAAATCATGCCTGTACAGAAGCAGACACGTGCCGGACAACGTACTCGTTTTAAGGTACATCTTACAAATAGCAAAAACTTGACAACAAAATCAATACAGTTGACAATTTAGCAATTTAATAACAATTGGACAGCAAATTGGACAATTGGACCATGTGCAATAAAGATATATCAAATAAATGAATTTTTTCTTAGGCTTTTGTTGCCATTGGTGATAGCAACGGCCACATTGGATTAGGAGTAAAGTGCTCCAAGGAAGTAGCCACTGCGATTCGTGGTGCTATTATCCTGGCTAAACTTTCTGTGGTACCTGTTCGACGTGGATACTGGGGTAATAAGATCGGCAAGCCACACACAGTACCATGTAAGGTAACTGGTAAATGTGGTTCTGTGCAAGTGCGTCTAATACCAGCTCCCAGAGGTACTGGCATTGTGTCAGCCCCAGTTCCCAAAAAGTTGCTTCAAATGGCCGGCATTGAAGACTGTTACACTTCTGCCAGAGGATCCACTTGCACTCTTGGTAATTTTGCCAAGGCTACTTATGCTGCAATTGCCAAGACTTATGCATATTTAACACCTGATTTGTGGAAGGAACAAGCTTTAGCAAAGGCCCCATATCAAGAATTTGCAGACTATTTGCAAAAAGTACAGAAGGGTATGAAAGGAGCGGAAATTGTTTAAATAAACATCGAAATATTTCCTTATGGAAATTCTTTAAGTAAAAAAATAGTTTGTATTTTTATCCCATCCTTTTGATTCCTTAAGAAGTATTTACTTTTGATCTATACACATGTACTTATAGAATATGTATTTATATTTTACAACGCTATATCTGTTTTTATCTTTTACACGATTTCTTTTCTACATGTTTATATCTTTGTGGAATGGTAGTTTCGAGCCATCTACCCAACGTTTTGTTGTAGCTTTCTTCCGAGATCCATGAAATTGACAATGCAAGCACAATTATGTTTGAATGTTCGGCAAACTCTGTTGTAATATGGTCTGGTATCTTCTGGAATCTTTTATCGAAACAGGGGTAGCCAGTGATATATACACGTTCAAAGAGCCGAATCACTCTTTTTACTGTTTTATTTGTATCCATCCATCTGTCTTCTTCCTGTTATTAAACCATGTTATACGATATGATTATAAATCTATTTTTAATAGAGAAGCACGTAAAATAAATACATTTGATTACTGTAATCACAATATCTATATTAACTATAATTTTGAGAACTATTAACTCATGTGTAATTCACGACATATACATGTTTCTTGAAATCTTACAACTGTGTTATGTAGATGTGCCTCAGGTATGTAGGAGAATTCTGGACAAGCTTGAGGCAATTGCGTAGGAAGATTAGATTTAGATGTGCTTGCTTCATTCTTTACACTGTTAGCTTGCTTTTTGTATTTCTCATTAATTTCCTGCCATTTTTCCAACTCAGAGAGATATTGTTCCAGCTTGTAACTAACTTTTATCTCTCCTGTTCCATCTTCAACTACAAATATTGAATTCTAATTAATTTTCTGTATCATATGTATGTTCTTTTTTTTTTACTTTTCTTTCGCTTACTTGTCAAATACAACATATTGTCAATGCGTTTAATACTGGTAACACTACCAACTAGCTCAATTTTGCGTATTCTAACGTTTGGCATGTTGTGTGGACAAAAATGAACATAAGAATCTTTCTTATAAGGCACTAATCGATGCAACTCCATAATGAGCATCGGTAAATTTAATGTCACCGTTGAAACTGAAACAATAATAAATTCGCTTATGTTTACAAATTTTGTATGACAAGTCTATAAAGTTTGCGTTATTTTGTTATACCATCGTTGACATTGATACCAGGCCATTCTTTTTTTGTGGTAAGATATTCTTGATATTCATCGTACTGCTCCTTACTGAAGTCAATCATACTGTTACTTGTTCGGGCAAATTTTATGGTTTAACAAGTTTACTCATTTTCAGATAACTTGTGTGTAAGTACGTGCTTCGCACGCGCCTCTAACGAAATGTAGCCACTTCCGTTACTTTAAATTTAATAACGTATAGTTCTATTTTATAAGAATTTCTTCCAACTATATTATTTATTAGTATTGTATTGTTTTATAAAAAATATTTATTTATTTTATTATATAAACCTCTCTCTTTCTCTTTCTCTCTGTGTACATATATTTCTTCTGTCTACGCGTTATTTCCTAGCGTTGTCGCGGAAGTTGGCTTTAGGGAATAACGCGATAGCCAATCAACGTCTCGCCAGTCGTTGACTGGCTACCGCATCTCGTTTCGTGTATATATCTTTTCTTCAACTTTTTTGGAAAGTTTTAATTCAAATTCTCTAATGTACACACGTGTTAAAAATCAGCCTAACGAATTGCAGCCTTAGTGCGAATCTTGGAAGTTCCGAATTTAAATCCGCTTACTAAATAATACTTTAGGATTTTTTCGAGTCCTTTCAACCGAGTTTATTAGTTGAAAACCGACCTGTGTTCGCTCTCCACCCATTAGGTCTTCAAAAATTAATTCGAATAAAAATTCAAATTTGTTTTTAAAAATGGTCGCGTCAACTAGATCGATCACGGAAAAGTATGGTGTCGTTGTGAGGAACAAACTCGAAATGGATGGTTTTATTCCCCATGGAAGACGACTACGCTCTCAGTCGTCTATTGAGTAAGAATTCGTATCACACTCATCAATTCGAAATAATCGTACAAGTTATTTTTTGGCAAGGTATATTCTACCTGTACATCGTATTAAATGTTCTATTCACGTTACTCATCTTCTTTTATTTAAAAAAAAAAGTAATTTTGATTTATACAAGATCATGTGGTCGTAAGTCTTGTTATTCTCGAGTGAAAAATTTTCATTGGATCAATTTTGCAATACAACGTGCGTACAAACGAGTGTGCATTAATTATGTATAATTATATAAGTATATGTATATTATTAATATATTTTACTACATATTAATAATATACATATCTCAGTGGTACATATCTACTAAAGTACATATTACATATAGCCGATGTGATTTCAATTCAACAATGCTAAAACACGTAAATTGGTGAGATTTTATTTTTTTGTGGATCTACAATAAAGGTACTTTCTCGACTTTCATTTTCTAACAAGGCGAAAATCTGTGTTCGAAGGATATATAAAAACACAAGAATTCGTGACGTGTTTTGCGACGCTTTACGCGTAGACCGAGATATCATCGTTTACTACACAATCACTGCTGGATATTAAAAACTTTCAATAACGAAATAAACACATGTTATCCGACAAAAAAACGCATAAATGTACAATAGTAACTTACAATACTTTCATTGTAAGAATTTAGAGTTACAATCAGGACTAGTTTGCGTATTTATTGTTATTCGTGACCGCGTTTGTCGTCGAGCTCAAAATAGGAATGCCCATGATAAAAGGCTTTCCTTCAAGCAAGAAGACTCCCAGTCAGTGTGCAAACTCTCGCGTCGCGCTCGCTGGATCGTGGATCCAGATTGATAATGAATTCGCTGATGTGTTACGAATTATTTAAAGACCAGCCAAGATAATACTAGGATCTTCTATGCCGTCCTTGATCTTCCTCAAGAAATATACAGCCTCGCGACCGTCGATCAGTCGATGATCGTACGTAAGAGCTACGTACATCATTGGTTGAATAACAACCTAAAAATACAAATTGGATATCAATTGGCAAAATTAAAATTTTTGATCACAGAAATTTAATAAAAACGACGAGAGCAATTTTCGATCAACTTTATACCTGTCCTTTGATAGCGACCGGTCTGTCGAAGACGCCGTGCATGCCGAGAATCGCGCTCTGCGGTGGATTGATGATAGGAGTTCCTAAAAGCGAACCGAAGACGCCACCGTTGCTTATTGTGAAAGTACCGCCGTCCATGTCTTCGACGGTAATCTTGCCTTTCCTGGCCTTGTCGCTTAAAGCGGCCAGAGCAATTTCGATTTCCGCGTAGTTCTTATTCTCCACACTGCGAAGTACCGGTACAACGAGTCCCTTTGGCGTTGCAACTGCCACGCTTATATCTACGTAATCTCTGTATATTATCTCAGTGCCGTCAATTACGGCGTTCACCACAGGTTGGTCTTTCAAGGCGTAAGCGCTAGCCGCGATAAACGGACTCATGAAGCTAAGCTTGATGCCATATTTCTTCGTGAACGACTCCTGGTGTGCCTTTCGGAACTCGATGATGCGACTATAAATCGATTAAAAGGTGTAAAGTAAATAAAAAATAATCAAACCATAAAACAATTGTACACTTGAAAACAAGAGAATACTACTTTGACATACGATTATAAATCAATTTAATTTGTATGAGATTAATAGAATTACCTCATGTTGATTTCGTTAAACGTTGTCAACATCGCGTTTGTGTTCTGCGCTTCTTTCAAACGCTCCGCAATACGCTGGCGCATCCTGTTCATTTTTACACGCTGTTCCGTTCGGGTGCCGATTATCTCACGTGAATAATCCGTAGGAGGTAGTTGAACTTTAGCACTTTCCAGCGACTGAAAACACATTTTTGCTGTCATCAACATTATTACTTGCACAAAGTATGCACGTTACTTCTCGTAAGTGTTTACCTGCGCGTGTTTGATAGCCGCGACCGGCATCGAAGCGGTCGGTGCTGCTGGAGGTGGTGGTTTAGCGGCGGGAGGCGGAACTGATGGAGCTGCAGGTTTTGGCGGAGGAGTTGCTGGTTTGGGTTCTTCTGCTTTCGGTGTAGGAGGTGGTGGTGGTGATGGTGCGGCTGCAGCGGGCTTCGGGGCTTCAGATGGAGCTGCAGCTGCTCCACCGGTTGCGCCGATATCGATGCTACACAACTTTTGGCCAGGCTTCACAGTATCACCATCCTGGACAAAGAGCTCCTTTATGACGCCAGAACCGGGTGACGGCACAGGGACCGAAGTCTGCAAATGCAAATACAAAATAAATTGTCGGCACAATCAATTTTTGATTTTTTTTTCATGGTGATTATTTCGCGTAATCAAGAAAAAAAATCACGAAATTACAGACCTTATCGGTTTCGATCTCACAGAGGACATCGTCTTCCTTCACTTGGTCACCAACTTTCTTCTCCCATCTCACATCACCCTCGCTCACGCTCTCAGCGAACGCAGGAACTACAACTTCCCTGATCTCCCCTATTCAAATAAGACAAAAAACAAATCACAAAACATTATTTTGAAATTGTTGCGCCTCTCATGCAAAGATTTGAAGTATCATACTTACATAATGATGAAGTTGAGTGTATGTGTCTCGAATGATTTATCCAATGACGGATTCCCTTATATTTTCTACATCTACAGGTGAAAAGAATACTTGAAAGTTTCTTATTCTGTTTTCTATTTTAAATTTTTCAGGAACTAAGAACAATTAATGCAGCACTAAAAGATTGAGACCCTTTCTAATTATATGTGTTTTCAAAAATAAATTACTATTACACTGTATTAAACAACACTCTGGAGAATGAAACTATGTACAGCACGAGAAAGACTACAGTGTTACTTACAATGAGATTTTGCCATTGGATTCATGTTCCGCATGAATAATCACTGTGCGTCCTAGAAAATTACTTGTTTTGTTACGGTATAACTTACTACAGATTAAGAACTATATTTCTGTTTAATGATTTGTGTTTCATTATGTTACTGCTACTTTGTCAACATTTTTTGTTATAAATGTCTTGACATGTTTTCTCTGATTAACCTTACCTTGACTGTACAACGATCTCGTGACCTGCGAAAAGAAGCACAAAATCGAATTGATTTCGTTTCAGCAACGTTTGAGAATTATTCGTCATATCAGCGGTGAAGTTGAAAACAGATAGTTCAGTCAGAAAAACGGAGAGGCGGAGACCGATTGATCTTACGTCTCGACACAGCTCGAGGGTCGGAGATAAAAATAGGTGATTTTCTCACAAAGAGCGGGAGGGAAAGAAACGGATTATCGGTCTCGTGTTGTCAAGATTAGATTGATTAATCGACGAGAATTGAGGTGTTCATCGAGTGGTCTCACCACGAGGAAAACTTACGCGACGTTTAAAATGACAGATAAGTCGCGAGTTAAGGAAGTGCCCGGAGAACAAATGCATTATGTAATCGTCGTCACGATGAAACGGAACGTTTCGGCGAACGTTCGAGCTGAAGCTACGTAACGATTTCGCAAAACTTAATCATCAAGATTAATTTTATGTATGACTGATAAGTTGTCAGAGCTGTCGGTCATGTGAGAAAGAGAACGTGGTGCAAGAGCGGGAAAGAGCCGGAGAACTCGCAACTTCACTTACCTTGCCTCGTAAAACGTTACTACGGGTGATCGCACGAGGCGCAAACCGCGAACAGTTGGACAGCATCGCGGCCATCCTCGAAGAAACGTGCGATCAGGTGTGTATTCTCGCGACGACGAAAACCGTACAAGAAGGAAACGGCACACACGACTTCTTACGGTGGTGAGGATGGGGTGAGGAGAAGAGAAACTAGACGTAAGGCCGGATTGGATAAGCGGCATCTGTTAAAAGCCATGAGCACTAGTACGTTTTGAAACGGTTCGCAAGCGATTCTTGGCATTTTTTTTTTAAATTATGATAAAAAAACGATCTCTTGATTTTATATTGTCAGTTTCTTACAATGTCTAATTTGTAAAGTTTGCGATAAAAAAACCGGATCTTATTGTTGAATATTTTTGTTCTGTGCAAACTTTTTTGAAAAATGCATTCTATTATATCTTTTTTATATGGACTTTGTCGCTATTCTTACGGAATAAGTAACAAATATAGATGGAATTAACGAGTAGATAGTAAATAGAATGTATTTTAAATTCTGTGTATTAATATATCTTATATATATAATTGACACACACCCAATAATTAAACACACACGTATATTTAAATAAAGTTTTATTTGAAGCATTTTGCACAACACTGCTCTACACATTTGCTTAGGTAAGTAAAATAATCCTGATCGTGTAAGATCGCTCTTATATAGTCATATATATAATTTATATATATGTATATATTATATATCTTACAGAGAGATCAGTTCGTTGAGAATAATTAATGTACATAATGTGTGAGCTGCCAGAATTCTCGTCTCTTATCATATTTTAATGTAATATTGCGTGTAATAAACGCGAGTTTGGTCATCTTTTTCGTTTTTGTATAGTGACTAGGTTTAGTACATTTTGAAAAAAGTTACGATTTTTTTATGTTTTGCTGTGAATAAAAAAACAAATATAAAAAAAAGTCTCGTCTCTGGAAATTTACACAGACGACGCGTCGACTTGTGTAAATGCAACAGCATTTGCTTTGTTGGCAGTATAATTTTTTTTTTTTTTTTTTCATTCTCTGATTAACGCAGTGCAATTTCCGTTTTTTTTGTTTTCTTATACATATCGTAACTTAGGTCTTGTTTTAGAAATACTTCGTTATTACAGCTAAATAAGTTTACGCACAACTCTGGATGTGATTATTAAGTAATTGCAAATATAGGACCTTCTTCAAAGAACAAACATATATGCGTATAGAGAACACGAAAGTACGCTATTTTTGTATTGCTGTTAGCTATGACAACCCGCATAGGCGACAACAGGATCCTCCAGCTGATCTGTCTGTATATTCGCAATCGACAATAGTGATGATTACACTTTGTACTCTTTATAAGATAGCTAATTTAGCGCGCAACATCCATACAAATTGCCAAACTACACCCTTTTCAAAACTCAGTGACACAGCAACGTTCTACAGTAAAATTGCGAGAACATTTTATATACTCGTTATATATTATGCAAAAAAAAAATACTTTACAAAGTAAAAACAAAAAAAAACAAAAAGATATAACGCAAGAACATATTGCACAAAAGTAGTACATTTTACATCTGGTCAAATAAAATCGACGCATACAATATTGATTACAGAACAGCGCGATAAATGTCTCATTGGCAGAATACAAGAAACTATACATGTATATATCGTTAAATATAATCTAAATACAATTCCGAAATGCAAAAAGCTACTAAGAGCACCAAAAATATTTTCGGCTGAGAGATAATTAACGTTCTCTCCGTTTGCACCTACAAATATGAGTACGTCATATTTGAGAGATGCGAGCTTAATATATATAATATACGATATACAGTGGCGTTGTTTTTTATTTCTTGTTAATTATTTCGTATTTATTGCACCGTACTTTGTAAACTGTCGGTGAAATAATTCCGTAATGATGGAAGAAAATAGAATTATATATATTTTTTTAATCGAATCGATTGTCTTCGTTGATATCATATAAAAAAAATACCGGTCTTCGAAACATTTTCACAACTCACACGCGTATAAGCGTGTGAGAATGTATATATAGCTACAAATTGATTTACTATTTGTTGAAGGTTTTTTATATAAAGTAAGTTTTATGTATGTCAAAAAGAAAAAAGAAAGTCTTTTTTATCATGGAATATTAGACGTCTTTTTAAAATGTGTTATTAGCGTAAATATCATATTAGAATAAGTGAGGAAAAACCCGCGAAACAACATAAACCGATATTATCAGCGAAGACGGACTTCGAAGAGTGCTATCGCAAGACCACACATAGTCGTTTGTCAGCTTTGAACATCAAAAGCTTGCTCGTCGGCAATAAAATCGATAACATTCCTAACGCTATCTTCCTGACGGACGCGTGACTTTTTATTTTTATTGCAAACATCATTATACGACTAGTGCCTATTTACTACTGTAACTTGAAGGACGATGGGAACATCTTTCCCCCTTCTCGTTCTTTTAAAATGCATCAACACCGTAGGAATCTCGAAGACAATAATAAAGCAGATCAGGAATCTTGCAGGTTGCACTGGAGATTCAACTGACCAAAAAACACGAATCACTCAAGATGAGTCTGAATGAAAATCAATAAAAACTCGATCGCGATCAGTTTGGTGTCGACTTTTCCTTGTGTAACTTGAGCGAATTGCTAATTACGAAGCAATTTAATTCATAACTTTAGAAGACAGCAATCCGTGTATCGAATAGCACGTGCCGATCTCTGTTCTTCTGGCCGTGAGCGGCAGATTTAAAATATTCAAGCTCATTTATTAGATAAGTAGGCCTTCAGCTAAGCCGCTAAGGATATTTGTTAAAGTAAAATCGACGCCAAACTTCTCAAAAAAACATACAAATCTTTCTCTCTTTCTTTCTCACTCTTTCTGTCTTGTAGACCATTCGATACGTTCAGAACATTTCGAGGTAAATATACATATTTTTTCAGAAAGTAACATTTAAAAAGTTTCTCTATAACTGCGGAATAGCATATTTAAACGTAATCATTCATTTCATTTGTGTTCACATGTACGCGCTCGTGCATTCTTTCATTCAGTCGAGTAACAGTCATTCGCAGAAGCGATTGAGTGGTTCAGAAGAAAACTGAACCATTATTAAATATACACATATACATATATATGTATATATATATATATATCATTCTTTTACATACTTAAAAATACATAGATATGATTCTTTTTTTTATACTAAATGATTTAAAAATAAATTATATAATTTTCAACAAAAAACTTGCAATAACGATACATGTTTTTTTTTAACAAAAGGTCTACAAAAAGCCATATATAAAATTTGCGACAATAAATTAAAATTTCAAATCCACACTTTATGAAATGAATTCATCTCCGGATTTGACCCACTTTTTCCTGTAAATCTCATAATTGAGTGACTGCTTTTTATTGCACACACATTTGTCACGCATTTTTTTCCGCGCTTATATGATAGTTGCTTCGCGCGAGAGCTTTCACAGCGAGAAGAACTTCAGGAAGGTCTGTGGAGGGATCGGCACGTGGAGAGACGACTGATCGACGTCCGCCAGTTTCTCTTGAAACGCCGGATCTTGATCCGCGATACACGGATGTCCGAGCGACCGCCAGAACAAGCAACGGCAATTACGGCAAAGCTGTATCATTTCGGCGTATTCCTCTCGTAATCCGAACGATCTACACGAAACGGAAACAGAAACGTGCAAGCATATTTATACAACGGCGGAAAGATCGTTATACTAACCTTCGCGCGATAGTGAATATAGTTTTCCAGTCTTTTCCAGGATTGTTCTGTCTCGTGGTAGCGATCTGCTGTGGCGTGAAATGATACTGAGCGAGCTCGCGCCATATTCTCTGTTCTTGCGCCAGAGCAGCGAGATGCTCGCATGCCTCGGACGAGGCTTCGATGTCTCGTGGATCGCTTAAACGCAGAAGAACTTCTCGACGGCATTCAGGCGGCAGATCCGACCATTGAGGCTGCTGTTCTTCATCCGGCTGCAATAAACGTCATTAATCAAGAGTCACAAATTAACTCGTAAAGAATTTATCAACAAGTCAAACATTCAAGCGCGTTACTTGAGTAATAGTAATGGACGAGGCAATCTGCAAAATTCTTTCCAGAGCCGCTTTGTGCTTCTCCCACAGAATGACGGAACCCAAGGGCCTGCCGCCCCAGCAACAACCGGCGCTGAAGGCTCGAACTCGCTCTATGAGGCGTCGTAGTTTTCCGGTCTGTTGTTGCGACAGTGACACTGCGCACAATGTTCGAAAATTCAAAGATGGTTCAAAGCAGTTTATAAATAATAATAAAAAAGTAATTGTTTTTCTCGGAAAATCGTCGCGGAATCACCAGACAAATTTCGCGGATTCGTCCGCCGCGATTTCCTTACCTTCCAGAGCAACTTCCTCGAGCATGTTAAAGAGCACTCTCTGAGCGCATCCGCTGAGGCCGCCCATTCTGTGACTGACCAGTAGGTCCAGTAGACGGACGATGTAGTTGAATCGCCGGCAGTCGTGCACCGCCGACAGGAAATCCAACCTCTTGAGAGCGTCGCTCAGGCCATTAAAACCAGCTATCTGTAAATTTAGGAACGATAACGATCCCACTTGCTGCATGCGACGTCTAAGTATAATAAGAAATACAAGAGCCGCTGACAGTTTGTTACTAGTGTCTCTCTCTTTCTTCCTTTTTTGTTTTTTTTTTCTCTTCTTTCTTGCCGCTCGATCTGTCTCTCTCACTCTATCGAGCAAATCCCGCAGTCTCTTTTTCTCTTGCACAAGGTTGGTCTAAATTAAAACCGGGCCGGAAGGAGTCACTCACCTCGCGTGTACACTTCAGCGTGATATGACAATGCGGTTGGACGGCGTTCTCTGAAATTCGACAAAGACGCTGATCAGATATCTTCGAATGTTGTCCTAACGACGTACGTAAGTTTCTCTTACTGTGTGATATCATTAAAAAAAAAAAAACAAAAAAAAAACAATTCAAGAAAATAACGCGGCTTAAGAAGAAAACAAAGACGGAGTTTGTAGAAACGTGAATGTATAATTAGCTGTCGCGCGAAGGTCTCAGATCTCGTTGAAATCGATATAACACTCTTCAGATTTCAAACTTGGTGGAACACACTGCTCACCTTTCTTTTTGTCCTTCTCCTTTTTATCGCCGGCGTCTTTCTCGCCGCTGTAAGAAAAAGAGGAAATATAGAAAGAGAAATATATCCATATCTTAGTAGATCATCATAAAGTTTGCCGACACGCGAAGAAGAATATAATCTATCAGGAAAGATAAAATAATTAGACACCGTTCGTGTAAACAAAATGTGCGTAATATTCTCGTGATCTAACACTTCACGTACTCGTACATATCATCCGCTCTTTCTCATACGCATCTTAATCTTACGTTTATATAAAATATATAGCAAAATAAAAAAAAAAAAACTAGGTCATGTCGACATATTTTTACGCTAATGTAAAATTGTAACATTAAATGTAATGATTTTCAAATACATATACACTCAGTTTTATGTACTCAGTTGGTTCTCTCACGAGTTTGTGATCTACCTCGAATAGTAAGTGCGAGCAGATATTTTCTGTGAGATGGAGGCACTAATATACGATCCCCAATTATGGCACAATACACCGCGACCGGTTTCAGCAAGCTCGTGGTGTGGCTGTTACATCTCGCGAGGAGTTCAACTTCCCCTCGACTGTGGAAAGTTGGCTAATATCTCGTTCGCGAGAGAAAAATAAAACATTTCCTTCCTCATCCCGTTAGAACTTTATTTTCTAAAAAGTGCAAATATATTACGTGTAACAATTACAGGTAACAACCTAACAATTACAGGTAAAAGGAGCGGATAAAAGGTGTAAAAAAATTATTTAATCATTCATTCATGTAATCTCACAAAAAAAAATCACGTAATGATGTTCGGTTTCTCTTTAGGAATATCAGAAAGAAACAAATCGTACACGTAGGCGTTCGCATGATCAGTTGATTGAGTTAAATAGGCCGCAACGAATCCGTCTCGCGAGAACGGCACCTTTGCTTCGTTTTGCGTTGTCAACTCGGATCGTAAATTGCTTTGGTGATCTTTGTAATATACCGGCCGTACAATTAACGTGGACACACCTCGCAACAGGCGGATGATATTCACGGCCACTTTCTATGTCGACGACAACAATGGCGTGTGTTATTTTAATCGCGTAAAAAGTTTACGTAAGAAAAATTCCGGAGGAAGCGGGAAAAAAATGTCGCGTCAAATCGCATTAGACGACGACGGGGGTCATTACAAATCGCGCACGATGATACCACGTTCTGTTAATAGACACGACATCGGTGTTTTTTTTTTTTTTTTTTTTTTTTACTGTTACCGAATAGGAACTTGTGCGGGTGCAGGTTCCGTTTGCGAGTGCGCAAACACTTAATGAAGTACACGAACAGTTAATTACAGTCGCGCGCCAAGTCATTATCGAGCATGGAGATATGTACTTTCGGTATAAAAACGCGGCCATCGAACGTCGCTAATTTCGAACTTTCGAAAGCGCGAGCGATCGATATTTATTAAATCCGCTCGTTTATAAAAGTCGAGAGACTGTTTAAAAGTAAAGTACGTCTGCAACGCGAAGATAGGAGCGAACCTCCATTGTGCTGCCGCGCGTAATGCATTCTGATTTCTTTTCTGCGATTATTCATGCATGAGTTAGAGAAAAAAAACAGCCGCATATAAAAAAACGCGACTCTTTTCAGAACATATCTGAAATCTTGATTGCAGCCACTTCTCTTTCTTTTTTTCGATGAGAGTTTTTCAGAAAATTGGTCACTAAAATATGTTGTACGATAAAATTTTTCAAACTTCTCAAAGCAAATAGTGTATTTCTAGCATTTATAAACGACACGCGATAAGAATCACAATTTATTATGCGAACGACGTACGTGCGTTCTATTATAGGGACGCAACAACCAACGACCTTGCGCGGTAACTCGCCCGTATGTACCTATATACATTTGCAACGGCGTGGTCGCGTGCGAAGGTGTACGATGATTTTTTTTCCGCATGAACGGAAACCTGTGAACGCGAGAGAAAACACATCTTCGATTTTAATACCGGGATCGATTGCGTGCCGCCCGCCGTGCCCTTGCCCTTTCGAGTGGAGCAAACTCGACGAGACTTGTATTTAAGGTCGTCGTCAAATCGCCCATGCAGGAGCGATAATAAGTTGACGAGGGGAAGAGAAGAACCGATGCAGACCGTGAAAGAGAGAGAAACCTATTATAGTTCGCGCGAAATTACGTAACCATCCCGACAACGAGTGTTCGTGATACGGATCGGTCGCAGATGTGTACGCGCGCTTATGCGCGGTGAATACGCAAGAAATTCACCGACAACATGTTCGAAGTATCGACGCAACGAGAACGATCGGTGTCACACGCTCTGCAAAAGTAGAAAAAAATGAAAAAAAAAAAAAAAAAAAAAAAAAAAAAAGCAAAGAAAAAGGAAAAAAAATAAAGTGTCAAACATGAATACAATCTATGCGATCTGACATCATGTCGCGCGGTCTAACCGAGTTTAATTTCAATGGCAAATAATTTTTCAGATCGATTCAAACGAATCCT